AGTACGCTAACTTCATTTGTCAGGAAGAGCCAGAGAACGGAACAGGGGAGGACAGGCCAGAGAACACCAGAAGGAGAACGGAGAAGGACTGGACAACCAGACAGGATCCGAGTCCGAGTCCGAGTCCGAGTCCGGTTCCACTTCACATTTGTGACAATATTTAATTATTAATCACGACACTCTAGGGAGTGGGACAGGGATGCTGTTGGACCGAGCACTACAAATGTGGGACAACATGTCGCATGAGCAATGTGCCACTTAAAGTAATGCCCGATGCTCGATTGGCTCTCCCTGACAGCAGACAGACGTTGATAGCTGGCTGGCTGGCTGGAAGTTGTCGTCGTTGTCGTTCACCTTGTAGCTGACGTTGTTGTAGTTGCTGTAGTCTCGTTGTTGGATTGTCGCTCTGCCCAATCATTATTCATGGCGTGACAAGCGCGTTAAATGTGTCTCTGCCTGTCCATGTGTGCGAGTCGGCAATAACTTTTAACATGCCAAAGGTATTTCCGCAACAATCCTCACATCCACAACAAGAACAACAGTACAAACACACGACAGAGAAAAACTCACCAAAATGAAAATAATTTGTGCTCTCTGTCGTTCCTTCTTCCGTTCTGTGTGCAAATCGCATTGGCAGTGAACCGGAGGGAGGGAGGCTGTCGATTTTGTCTCCTATCGTCGGTGCGGGCCACAAATTAATGCCAGCCATTATCACGAAATCCACTTTCATGGCGGCCACTGCTGTTGTCCTTATTTGTCCTTGATTGCCTTGAACAGCGCCACAAAAAAATACACTCATACCGTCCCGAAATAAAAGAAGAAAAATTGTGACATGCCGCCAGCCGACTCGTCACCTCCTTCCTCCATCCTCGTTCTCTACGAGTATAGGCACGGCCCCCGGCCATTGTTTCATTTGATTTCTGTTTGCTTTCGCTAGATTCCTCGCGTGCCACGACACTCTGGTGGGGATCGGTGTAAATATTTGTGACATAATTAAGCAGCCAAGCGGCTTGGCATCGGGTCGGGCCAGGCCGGGACCGACACGGCAGCACGGTTCGGGCGCAGGACATTATCAAATCGGTGGAGGGACCAGTTGCAAAGCCGAAAATAAGGCAAACATCGACGCTGGGGCCGTGGCTCAAGAGCGTTTTTGCCACGCGCGTGATTAAATTTCATTTGTGGACTCAGCCCGAACGGAACCCCGACCGACCGACTGACTGACTGACTGAGTCCTTAACTCTCTGTATTTACCGTCGTTTTAGTGCCTCGCCTCGCTTGGGTTAGTCTCAGCTCCCAGTCCCAGCTCCACTTTCTCCCAACGATGTGCGTGCGTTTGACTTGGATTCGCATTAAGATTGTCAAAGATTTGGACGCCAGTGGGGAGCCACTTTAGACTGGCTTGAACCTTTCACTCCGGGCCGCCTGTTTAGCCTGTTTCGCCAGTTTCGCCGGGCTTTGCTTCATCTTCGCTGGCTTTGGCTTTGCCTTTCGCCCAAAAACGCTCTGGGAGCAATTTGGAAGATTTTCGGCAGCGATTTATCGCCCAGCTCCTGAGTGGGTGCCACCGATACTTACCCAAAGATAATAGAGCGGCTCCCCTACCTTACCCTACCGTATCCGTAGCCCTCTGCATCCCCATCAGGTTCAACTCAAGTTAATTTGAATACGAAAGCCGCCCGCGAAGGAAAAGGTTGTTCAATGTCACTGCCGCCGCGGCGTAGGTATCGGAGTATCCTATCTGCCTTGCGATTCCAATTCCATGATAGTGCAGAATATTAATGGATGTAGGGATCGGGGCCTACATGCATGCCATGTGCCAGCCCATCGAGGCCGCAACAACATTGACTGGAAGCTCCCTCCAATAAATACCGGCATTAGTGACGGGACTGAGGGACTGGGGCCTGGGCCTGATGTCAGGCTTGGGTGTATTTTTTGACATCAGGGGAGTGCTTGCCAGGGCCGTAAAAACTGTATTGCCTACTTTCAAAGCCCAGAGATAGTTGTCCGCGTTGCCTCTTGGCTTTTTGGGTGCCAGTTGGCAGACAATTTCAACAGACACATCCCCTGTCCTAGGGCTGGGGCCTGGGGAACATTTTAATAATTCAATAGGCAACAATGCGACATGGAAAAGCGCTTCATGTAATTACGACGCGCATAAAAATTGAACAAATGGCCATCAGCAAAGCAACTTCCAGTATATTGAATGTCAGCATTGTTGTTCCTTTTTGACTTTCACTTTGAGTACCATTTACATTCAAAGACTGTTGTTGCAGCTGTCACTGGCCGGGACACAGATACAGATACAGCTGAGCAGACAGGGAGAGGGAGAGAAACACGGAGAACATGCATGCCAAACATGCCGCAATGGCTGCCAGCCATAGAAGGGTCTACAGCCCGTAGAACGTTTGTGGTCGGGCTCCGGATCCTTTTTGGTCGATGCTGAATCTAAAATGTAATGTTGTGATTGGGCGTGATTTGGTGCTGCACTGGGTCCGGTCTCGAACCCGAATCAATTTCATTACATTGCACGGAATTAATTTCCAGCACCGAAAATGTTGTACCAAGAGCGTAAAGCTTGCGAAATAGAAAATAGAAAATACTCTAGTGTTTGAATTTTGATTCCACTTCAAAGTTTCGGTATGACTCACACAGATCTGTGAATATTCCATTTTCATGCAGATCACGATTGGCCAACCAGTTTTCCACGAAATATCCAACTCAATCTCTCCTTCTCTCTGTGTCGACACGAGTTGCCGAACTTCCTGGCCAAGTTGGTATACCCGCATACCAATGCCAGTGGCCGGGCCTGTCTGCAGCCATTTTGCTTAACTTTCATGAGGCCATTCAATGACTTAACCATTTCCATGTCGCTGCTCGGGTCCTTTTCCAGCCACGCACGCATTCACACAAACACAGACCATATAGACACAGAGCTACAGACCCCCCTCCCGCCTCCCGCCTCATGTGTGCTTGTGTGGGTGAAAAGGGTCAAAAGGGTTTTCACACATGTACAAATTGCTGGCCTGGTCGAAAGCATTTTGCATAGAAGCCAGCAGCCTCTTGGCCCAGGCCGCGTCGTGAGCGACCTTAAAGGTTGCCTCAATTAAATTTCTACCGCCCGGCCAGACACAAAACCCGGCCCGGCCCGGCCCGGCCAAAAGCTGCAGGGCACAGCCAGGGCCACACCCACTGAGCGCATATGAATTTGCCTTTACACATATTTTTCCATGTTTCTCATTTGGCTGCCATGTTTTTATGTGGTCCCTCCCCATACACCCTTTGTGACTTACTGCACGTCAACAGCCTCAGCCTCAGTCCCAGCCTCTGCCTCTGCCTCATCGGGCGCATCGGAGAGGGCTGTGAGTAAGTGAAAAAAATGTCTGCTTTTTAGCCGGTTCCGCTGGCCGGGCCTTGCTTGCCGAGCGCAAGAGAAATGTGCCAGGAAATTGTACTGAACTGCTCGGCAAAAAGAAATGGAAAGTAGAGGAAAAGTAACACAGAAGACGGCGCTGTAGTATGGCCAAAGAAAACATAAACCATAACGGTGTCAAGCTCTGGCCCTGGACCCGACTCCGACCGTGGCATGGGGCAGGGGGCAGATAAGCCAACAACAGGAGGCAGGAAAATTTATGGCATGCGGGGGACGCGTACGCGAGCCGGAAATGAGCAGCCAGAATGTGGCAGGCACGAGGCTATGCCTCCGCCCCGGTCGATTGGCTGCAGACAGGACCTGTCCCTGGAACTGAGACTGAGACTGAGACTGGCAGGTGATAATCACGAACAAACACTAAGCAAACAAATGGCCCACAGCCGCTGCACAAAAGAAACAACAAATGTTGCAAATGAAAACAAACATTTTAAAGACTCAACCTCAGCAGGCTCCTGCTCCTGCTGGTGCTCCTGCGAACCCAACTCACATTCACGGTGTCTGTGCCTGGAAAAGTCCCCGGAATCGGATTGCCAGTCATCGGGCTATTCATGCAATTTCGCAGCGCTTCGTTGGCCAGTTCTCTGCGGCCGGGCATTGAGTGAAGTGTGCCAATGGCAGTCGTGGATTTGAATGGTGCTGGCCAAAGGATTTCACAGTGGCTGGCTGGCAACAATGGAGTCGGGTTCAAATTTAATAGCTGACCAGAGCCTGAATCTGAATCTGAACCTGAATTCTCCCCCAGCAGGAGGCAGGTCCACACTGTCACAGTCAAAGTTCCGGACACAGTCACATCCAGAGTTTGTTTGCATTAAATACTCGTCGTACCGAGCTTAGCAATCAACTCTCGCTGACAAGAGCAACAGCTCTTGAATAATGTGTTGCACAGTTGTTGACTTCCTCAGTCGAATGCTGTTGACAAAGGCACGGCTCGGCACAGCCTCTACTGCGACAGCCACTGCCACTGCCACTGCCACATCCTCATCCACTTTGTCGCCATCCTGCCCGCTCTCCCTGCTCTGTGCTCTCTGTCTGCCTCTCGCCGTGGCAAGTTCAAGTCCTAGTGGTCGCACGCTTGACTTCCTGCCCCTTCTCAGGCACTTGAAATGTAATTTAATTTGTTTATTTGTGTGGCGCTCCGCTCCTCTATCCCCAGAGCCGCTTTGCGGCATCTGCCGTGTCTGCTTGCCAATTAATTGCGCACCTTTCGGGGCGAGACTCTCTCGCCAGACACCGAAGAGGAGCAGGTGCCGGGGCCGTTGCCGTTGCTGGTGCTCGTTTCAGTTCTGCCTCCCCGAATTTGGGGCAGAAAATGCTCTAATTAATGTGTTTGTTAAGCTTTTGTGCTTGGGAAATTCGTTAACTTTGTACACGGGGGATGCGAGTGCAAGTCAACATTTTAATTGAATGAAATTTATAGCCGGAGTTTCCTGGGATTCAATTACATACAACAGGTTCATTAGATGGACGCACAAACTCCTATCTTCAGATATTCAGATATCCATAATCGAATTCTGATTAAATATGAAAATCAAAACACTCTCAAGTTTCTCCGTCTCTCTCTTCCGGGCAGGACTAAGGACTTGACAATGCGCTTCATTAATTTGGCTGGCAGCCGCAGAGCAGCAGACCCGCTGTCTAAGGACCAGGCACACGAACAGGAACCGGAACAGGGATTCGCGTCAGCTGCAGCAACATTGCATTGAGTGGGGGACACAGACGTAGCCGTAGCCGTAGCCGTAGCCATGGTGGAGGATAACGAGGATGGGCTGTCGCAGCTGCCGCTGCCGGAAGCGGAAGCTGAAGCCGAAGGAGCCGCCGCCTCGGCCCTCGTCGAGCCCCTGCTGGCCCTGCTACGCGGCGACTTTCTCAATAAGACGCAGACACAGACACAGACCCGAGCCCCAGCCAGCTTCTACAGCAGCTACAACATATCGGAGGACGTCTACTTCTACTTCAACGGTCTGAGTGCGATGCCCACGAGCACGGAGCTGGCCCTCAACGGCAGTGGGGCCACCACAACTATGGGGCCGCTCAGCAGCACCATCAGCAGCAGCAGCACCACCCCCGAGCCGGATCTCTCCGAGTTCCTGGAGGCGTTGCCCAACGATCGCGTGGGCCTGCTGGCCTTCCTCTTTCTGTTCTCGTTCGCCACCGTTTTTGGCAATTCCCTGGTCATTCTGGCCGTCATCCGAGAGCGGTATCTGCACACGGCCACCAACTACTTCATCACCAGCCTGGCCGTCGCCGATTGCCTGGTGGGCCTGGTGGTCATGCCCTTCTCGGCCCTGTACGAGGTGCTGGAGAACACGTGGTTCTTTGGCACCGACTGGTGCGACATCTGGCGCTCCCTGGACGTCCTCTTCAGCACCGCCTCGATCCTGAATCTGTGCGTGATATCGCTCGACCGCTACTGGGCCATCACCGATCCCTTCAGCTATCCCATGCGGATGACTGTGAAGCGAGCCGCCGGCCTGATAGCCGCCGTCTGGATCTGCTCGAGTGCCATCAGCTTTCCGGCCATCGTCTGGTGGCGGGCGGCGCGTGACGGCGAGATGCCCGCCTACAAGTGCACCTTCACCGAGCACCTGGGCTACTTGGTCTTCTCCTCGACGATCTCCTTCTACCTGCCGCTGCTGGTGATGGTCTTCACCTACTGCCGGATCTACCGGGCGGCGGTGATTCAGACGCGCTCCCTCAAGATCGGCACCAAGCAGGTGCTGATGGCCTCCGGGGAGCTGCAGCTCACGTTGCGCATCCATCGCGGCGGCACCACCAGGGATCAGGCCAACCAGGTGTCGGGTGGGGGCGGCGGTGGTGGTGGCGGTGGCGGTGGCGGAGGCGGATCCCTGAGCCACTCGCACTCGCATTCGCACCACCATCACCACAACCATGGCGGTGGCACCACCACATCCACGCCCGAGGAGCCCGACGACGAGCCGCTATCGGCGCTGCACAACAACGGACTGGCCCGCCACCGGCACATGGGCAAGAACTTCTCGCTCTCCCGGAAGCTGGCCAAGTTCGCCAAGGAGAAGAAGGCGGCCAAGACGCTGGGCATCGTGATGGGCGTGTTCATCGTGTGCTGGCTGCCGTTCTTCGTGGTCAACCTGTTGTCCGGATTCTGCATGGAGTGCATCGAGCACGAGGAGATTGTGTCGGCGATTGTCACCTGGCTGGGCTGGATCAACTCGTGCATGAATCCCGTCATTTACGCCTGCTGGAGCAGGGACTTTCGCAGGTGAGACCCCGGGGTACTAATCCCGCCTTTCAGCACTCCTTCAACTGGTTTCTCTCCCTCAGGGCCTTTGTGCGTCTGCTGTGCATGTGCTGTCCCCGCAAGATCCGCCGGAAGTATCAGCCCACAATGCGGTCCAAGTCGCAGGTAAGTTGTCCACCCCCATCGCCCCCCCCTCCACGCCATACAATTGGATTCGGATTTCAGATTTCTCTCAGTCTTAACCGTTGCTTTCTTTTTTCGGTTTGGCTTGATGGTAACAGTCGCACAGTTTTTCCACTCTCGGCCCCTGGTTTTCCGCTTTCCACGAATTATGCGCGGCTGCCCATATCTCCACTTGTTTTATGCTCCAGAAACGAAGCTCAACGAACGGCAAAATTAATTTACAAATTTAATGAATATGGAAAAAAAGCAAACTGACATTTACTCGTCGCCCACTCGTGCGACCCGTGCCACCCGTGCCACCAACATCCTCATCCTCATGGCTCTCCTCCTCTCTGAATCGCTGGCTGCCTGCTTGGCTTGCTGGCTTCCGTTCACACATGGCGGACGGATAGACAGGCGGACAGCCATGGAAAACTTCCTGACACTCGCCCCTATCCTGACGTGCTCATCTCCTCATCGCACTCCATCCCCCATATCCTTGCATAAATCATCAGATGCCAACCTGTGCGGGTCCTCAACCTCAGACTCCCCCCGCTGTGATTTTAATGAATAATTTTCTAATGTTTGAGGATGAGCCAAGGCCAAGAGTGCGAGAGTGCGAGAGTATTGCACCAGTCACCAGTCAGAGTCACTCGTCGGAGTCGAGTGATCCATTGTTGTGCCCCTGGCAAGCACTCGAGAGCTGAATACCCCATCAGAGGATAAGCACTCAACAGGTCCCGTCTCGGAATAATTAACTATGATTTGCATTCACGTGATTTGGTTTGAAAACGAAGCAAAATTGATTTCACATCCATCAAAAGTACTTTACGTTCTGCCTAACTAAACGGATCATATCATTACAGGAATCATCAGTACACATCATCATCGCATCATCATCGCATCATCATCATCGCATCATCACCATCTCGCACACTGCCGTTCTTCGAACTCTCAACACATAATTACCATATGTTTTTCCCGATATACCTGGTACTCCGTCCATCTGTCCGTCTGAGCCATACCCTGGATCTTGAGGTGGAGTGTGTACCGATAGTGCCATCTAAATAAAGACACAGGGAAATCGGAATACCAAACTTTTCATTCCCAGCTTCCACAAGTGTAAGGACTAAACCCATCCTCGGCAATCCACGTTCCCTCTTCCAGGTTTTTCTGTGGAATGTGGAGAAATCTCAGTACCAGGTATCTGATAGTCGGGAATACTCGACTGTGCTTTGTGTTTGTTTTGTGGCGTGGCGAATAGCTGATTATGATTCCGGTGGTGTTCGTTTCGTGTTCTTACAGAGATTTGCGACGCGGCGCTGCTACTCGACCTGCTCGCTGCACGGCATTCAGCACGTGCGCCACAATTCCTGCGAGCAAACTTATATATAGTTTAGCATACTCGTAGATTTAGTTGACATTGATTAAGGCGTCGCCCCCACCCACCGCCCCCTTCGATTTCAGGCTCCTGGCTTAAGCTCAAGCTGAAGCCCTAAGTTGTTTTTTGTAAGTCAATGGCAAGGTAAGCGACTTGTGACTTTGTGTTTTCTCTCTTTCTCTCTCTGTGTCGATGTCTCTCGGTGTCTCTTCTCCGCCTGTTGTCTCTCAAAGTCGTTGTGCACACACACTCACACAAATACACACAGAAGCCACAGAGAGGAATGGGGGGAAGGGGGAGAACAACACACAGAAAAACCCCACAACGCATTGCACAGTCGTTTTTTTTGAGTCGCCCTGCTCCACCCACCTGGGCTGTACTCCATTTTCTGCATCTGTTTCTGTCGCTGTCGCTGTTGATGTTGATGTTGCTATCTCTGTCTATGGCTGAGTCTGTCCTGCTCGCTCCCTTGTTGTTGGCTCGACCGTGACATTGTTGTTTGTGTCGTTATATTTTCGTTTGTTCCTTTTGTTGGTTACGTTGTTGCAAAAGAAAATCAAAAAACGAAAAGAGAACTCTGTTCGAGCACCTGTTGAATGTGTTGCACCTGAACATACATTCATACACCCGCACACACACACACACAGTCCACACAGTCCCCACCCGCCTCCCAGCGTTGGCTTTACGGTCGTTGTTTGATGATGTTGCTCTTTATGTTGTTACTGTCAAGGTGGAAAAAAAGCCGACAAAAAATCAAACAAGAATGAACGAAACTTGCCACAAAGTCTCTGGACACAAGAGCACACACACAGTCACACACACACATGCAGGACACAATGTCCTTTCATCGTTTCTGTCACCGTTTCCGTTGCTGTTCTTGTTCTTGTTCCTGTCGATGTTTTCCTCCTCTCACAAAAGATTTCCCGCAGTGTACACAATGGCGAAACAGGGAAAAACGTCCCACATGAAGCCTGGTTGTTGATCTTGTGTTGTTTTTATGTGTGAATTTTCCTCAAGTTTTATCCGACTTTACCTCCCCCCCTCCCGCCACCCCCCACACTTCCAGTTTGGTGTTTATTATTTTTAAATTTATACTTTTGCCTTCTGGTTGTTGTAATTGTAGCCGGCCCTTCCGACCTGGTTTCTATGTACACGCCAAACACTCAACAGCCCATCCACACGTCGATGGCTGTCTAGCTTACACTCACACTCACACACCGACACCAACACACATGTCATACATGTGTTTGTGTGAAGAAACAGTGTGTGTGGGGGGTGGGGAGGGGATGGAGTCACGCACAGCCGATACTTGAGAAATGTTATCAAGTGAACCATAAACATTTCTTGCACTTAAAAACTTCCAACTCAATTTTCGCTTCTGCGATATGCGTACCACACACAAACACACACTCGAACACTCGAACACAGAACACAGAGCACACACACATGTGCCACCACCACATGTAATTGTATTGATGAAAATGTTATTTACAGCAATCAACAGTCAATATGTGGGCCAGACATCATGGTGTGCCCTGCTCCGCTCGCCTTTTTGTATCCGTTCCTTCTGGATTTGGATTTCGACACAGGCTTTAGGCTTGCTCCTGGTTTGGGGGCTATTTTTATTTTTCATTTTTTTTCAATGTGTCTGTCATCATATCAATTACACCCAAGAGCATGCCAATTTATTTGCCAAGTGTTTTCCGAAGCCAATTCCAGTACGAGTACGGAAGGAAGGAAGGCTTCGAGCACGACTGGGTCGGGGAAAAGCGTATGGGAAAACTTTTTCTACTCGGGAAAGGGTACGCGCAGCTGGATCAGCGTGCTGAATGCGGGGTCCAGTGGTGCGGACGGGGAAATGATTGAATATAAATGTGGCAGCCACCGGAACTAAGGCGAAAATTTAAAGCACGTTTCGTGCACGTACGATTGATTCCATAATCATGGACGAGTACTCTGCCAAATTCGATTTTTTCAGGTGACAATTGATCGCCCAAAAACCGAAAGGAGTTTGGCAAGCCTCCCAGCTTGAGGGCCTCAAAAATCATTGATATAGGTCTTAATTTATGAGGAAATTTCCCTAATTTATTGGTTCGAGTCCCCAAGACTGTGTGTCCGAGCAGGAAAGTGCTTGGCTCGCCTACAAATGGGGCAACTTCCGCATTTCGCAATTTGCCAGCTGCACGACAAATGGAAATGGCTTCTGGTCAAATGAGGATATTGCAGACGTGTGGTTTTGTCGCTGTGCCCGCCCCCGACGAGAGCTCGGTTTCCGGACTTCAACTCTTTGACTCGCATGCCGCACTGGGGGGCCATCTTTGTTCCACCTCAAGCACATTGCGGTCAGCCACAAGTCGCCTCTGTGTGTGCCTGGATGACACTTTAAAATGAACTCGATTGAGGTTTTTATTCAACTTTAATGCACGCAGACACTCAGGGCGAGACAGGGCCTTGCACACGGAACACTCAATGATTAATCGCTGGCTGACATTTCAGCCCACTATGAAAGAGCACCCACTCTGCGTTCTAATGAGCCGTAAAGGATTCTATGGCCAGGCAACCCACACAGCCACAGCCCCAGCCACAGCCACGGCCACATCCACACAGCCCACACCCACACGCGCACGCACACGCAGTCTGTCAGACATGGCCAATTTGCATGGCATTTCGGGCTTCGAGGAATATCTGCCGAGATGTTTTGATTGAAAATGCCAGCCATCCAGCCCACACACAGAGAACACTCAGTACAGACCACCCACACACATTGAAGCACCACCACCACCACCTACTTAGCATAAATTTGTAAGCTTGTAAACCCAGCATTTGTAACTCTAAATGTTTGCAGAAGAACCCACTGGCCTGCCTGAGGGCGGGACCGGAACCAGCACCAGAACTGCTGCGCTTTGGGGCCTTTGAATAGGCCTCCCCCCTTCGAATATTCCAGATGCACACAGAGCACAACTTTAATCAATCCCTGGCTAAGTACGAGTGCATACAAATAATGCTACTCGTGATGCTGCATTGCTTCTGCTGCTGCTGCTGCTGCGCAAAACGCTGCTAATTGCATCAATTATTGGCCAAAAGCTTTGTGGCATGTACATATCAGCACAAAGCCAAATTGAAGGCAAAACCAAATTACTGAAACAATTAATCAACCCATTTCCGCTGACCCCAAAAAACTGAACAGAACAGAACAGAACAGAAACCATAATCAAGTTTAGCGACATTTAGTCAGACGTTAGCCAAAGGGAATACCACGTACTTTTATTTTTCTTTGCTTGTTTCGTTCTTTCGATAATGGTCCTTTCGCATCAAAATGTAATTTACCACAAATGTTTCACACACATCAATTATCCCTAATTGACTGTGAACGTGAAATTAACGTTTATAATTATGTGACAGAGCCGTTGAGGCGAGGCGGAAGTAGCCAGAGTAAATGGCCAAATTCGTGGCCAGAGCCATGTAACTTTTAATGTCCTTGCCCAGGGACTGGCCGGGTGGAGGGTAGATTCGCTTTCGCACAAGTCAATCTTTCAGCCAGTCACTCACAAGGTCACCAGTAACCCAAGAAGGGCTAAGCAAATGTCTGTTAAGCCTTTTAAGAAACTTTACTTCACGGTTTAACCCGTGGCGGGGTGACGTGACCCCCGAAGGGGTTTATTGAGTGTTAGGCAATAAATTACAAAAGAGGTCTCTGGCCCGAGGGCTCGCGACAAGTTCGTGCGCGAAAAAAGCTCACAGTATTTGACGGTGCCATTGACCTTTGGCCGGGGCTTGTCAAGTTTTATAAGCGACAAGCCCCTAGCCGTAGCCGTAATTTTGGAATGACTCACAGAGAAAGAAACCAAGTGTAGCTTTCGGACATATGTTAATGGCATTTCCTAACAGATCGGAATAGATTAAAGCTTTGGGAGCGGTTTTCGTTGAGCAGAGATTCCAGTGATTAGCCGCCAAGCTCCTATCTGTCTGATAGCCCTGCTCCCGCTGATACTCCCTCCTGCTGATGGCTTTGGATGGCTGGTCCTGTGAGCTATAAAAATTGCAAATTACCCAATTGCCTGGGGCGTCTACCGAGAGGGCCATCCGGTCTGGCTCTTCAATTATTTAAGCTAATTGCGGCCACACTCAAAAACACCAGCAGCACACTCGGCGTATACGTAATGCGAATTGTACGCAAATGGGGAAGGGATTTTAGAATTTAATAAGAGGCCAAGACCAGGCGACCGTAAGAAAGTAATTGAATTGGCAGAGCACAGATGATGGGTGGAAGTCGAAAAGAGCGGGGAAATTGGGAGAAAGTAGGGCCGAAAATGGGGGAAAGGAAGAAGAAGAAGGAGGGAAGAACAATTCCAGGCACTTGCAAGATGCAGAGCTACCAAAAGGCGCCGTAGGACACAAAGAGGTCTCAATGGGCACTTGGTATTCCCTCGACCGGAAGAAGGAAGACGCACACATGGACACGCACACGAACACAGTCAAACCTACACCAACACATGGCCGTTTTGTTAATGTTGTTGTTACTGTTATTACGGTTTGCTTTGTGGCTGAAATGCCAGGCAGCTTTCTTCTTTTGGTACCCTTGCAGATGATATGTGATGTCTTGTGGCTTTGATCAGATGTTTGCATCGCAGAAGGATTAATATTCATCCTTCATTATTCCAATCTACCTGTGACTAAAAACAACAGACATCTGATCTTTGTGACGCAGTCATTTTCGCTTCAACCCCACTAGAAAATCTCCTGTACATTTATCCTCACTAAGGATGCGATCGATCTGCCAGGGTATCAATTGCCTCGGTCCGCGAGGATATCCTGTTTCCTATTTATTTCCCTATTTTTTCTTCCTATTTCTACTTCTGTTTTTTTTTGGATTCTCTTTCTTGCTGTTTGTTGTTGCTCTCTCTTTCTAGTTCTCTTTTTAGTTATTTTTCTGTTAGTTTCAATCATGCATTTTGCTTTGACTTTTACTGCACCACCGGATGAAAAGCACACGGGAAAATAGACGAAAATAAGAAAATCAGAGAAGGAAAGCTGGAAAAGCTGCTACATTTTTCTATTGCTGTTGTTGTTTTTCTTGTTATTGTTGTTGTTGTTGGTGTTGCTGCTGCCCCTCCCTGCCCCGCCCTTCATCACTCTCTCATTTCTCTCTTTGTCTGTGTGTCGTTGTTGTATTTGTTGTTTCACTCTTTGTTGCTTTGTTGCTATTGCTGTTGCTGTTGCGGCTGCTGCGTTTATAACGGCAAATTGTTTTCTGCCACACACACATACACACACACACACAAACACAAGCACACGCACATACACACTAATACAGAGATACACTGCCTGCAAATTGTATGAAAACACTTGAAACCAAATAAACCAACAAAATGTTAATTAAATGCCTCTTTCCTTCTCTTTCTTCCTGTTCTATGTGCATCCTGTTCTCCTCATCCTCCGCTCCGCTTCGTTCCTGCTTCTGCTTCTGCTTCCGTTTCTGCTTCTGTTTCTCTTTCCAACAGTGCCACGTGGCCGCTGCAATGGTGGCAGCCTCGACCTCCTTCGGCTACCACTCGGTGAACCAGCTGGACCGCACGCTCATGTGACGTCAGCTGAGCAGTTGCAGCACCTGCAGCGGTGGCAGCAACTGCGGCGGCGGCGGCGGCGGAGGCGCCAACGTCGGCGGAGTGGGAGGCGGCTCCCGCAGTGGCCATCACCACCATCACTCCTCGGGCACGGCCACGCCCTCCTCCTCGCAGCGATCGTGCACCCGCTGCCAGAGCTTCCATCGTCACCACCACCGGGACCGGCGCCGCAGCTCCGGGATGAAGCATCGCGGGGACTTCAACTCCACGTCGGCGGTGAACAGTGCGGCCAAGACGATAGTGACGATCACCGCACCGCCGGCGGCAGCGGCCTCTGCCAGCTCGTTGCACCTGGGCGGCGGTGCACGGCCCTCGTCGGTCTCCACTTTGACCATAGCCTCGGTGCCGGCCACTCTGCTGCTGGAGCCGGCTCTCGGCCTCGGAGGCGGGGGCGGGGGGTCGGTGAGTGCGGCCAACACACCTGTGGCACCCAGCCTGAAGCACTCCAGCCTGGCGCTGACGCCGGGCAGCATGGGGCCGTCGAACTCCTCGGGTCACCACGTATCCTTCATGCCCATGGCGGGCATGAGGCGTCTGCGCAGCTCCAACTCCTCGCTGAGCTCGCCCACGACCCCAGCTCTTGGCGGTGTGGACACCATCTCGGCCATCTCGCTCACTGATGCCGCCGAGGAGCACCGCGAGCACCACCACCACCACCACAGAGTCCTGGAGCAGCGCCAGAGTGTGCAGAGCCAGATCACGACACTGGGCGATGTGGACGATGAAGGGGACAGCGACAGTGACAGTGAGAGCATCGGACTGGCCCTGGTGCAGACGACACCGCAACTGGAATGCCGGCCGGAGACGGAGGCGGCCTCCAGTTCCTCCAGCTCCTCGGTCAAGTAAACTCAGCCAGAGAGCCAGAGCCACGGAATTTGATTGGGACCCCAGTCAGCAGCATACTAGCCCTAAGATCTCTCCATTGATGTGTGTATATACTCGTACTATAGCGATCTAGCCTTCGCCTAGTCTCTCATTAGCTTATCGATTGGTGATAGAACACTATGCAACAGAATATCTGATTTGATTATCCTTCTATACTTTGCAATGATGCGATGACCGGTGGGTGGGTTGCATAGTTGTTTAATGTAAATTAGTTGTTACAATTAGTTGCCATATCTTAGATCTTCCATTATATAGATGTTACCCCCTAGAGTAAAATATTTCGTTGTTCCGTAAATGTTTCAAGCGTCTTAGCCATTGCAAGCTACGTCTTCAAACCTGTCCACGTACCTGACTCTCTTTCAGACACAAACCAAGAAGTACTATACTCGATGATATACTATACTTACTATACTATACGCGAAACCTACTGTAAATAGCAACAGGTCCACTCTTTGCCTATTCCTCTCTCTAGATTTAAACATACTTCTGTCCCAACTGGAACAAATATAAACATTACGGGTGCAAAATGAATTTATCCAAGGACTGCTAAGGACTCGAACAATCAGCAAACAGCAGGCCTCAGACTGCTACCCAGCAGTACCATTCAAGGCATTCCCTACTCACATTTCGGTTGTCAGTGTCCAAGTACAAAACTTTGAAGGCCCTTTGTTCCCTTTGCTTTGTACTTTGAACTCCTCGCGAGGACAGCGGGTATACAATAGAGTGAATGTTAAGTGTGCTTCAGATATGCAGGGTTTACTTATTAATTGAGATGTAATCCATCAAAGGGTTCCTCTATGAGTGAGTGCTTATCCGATTTCGATTTTGCAATAATTAATGTGTGCAATTAGGATTGATTTTCCCGCTCCACCAAATTCAAGGAGCGGATGGAGTGGAATGTCGGGGAAAAACTAATAGAAATGGCGATGCGTCATTTTAGCGGATGGATGGGTCGGGTCGAACGGGAACAGAACAGAATAGAACAGAACAAATCATCATCTCGGGACGAGAGAATAGAAAAATGTTGCTCATTGTTTTCAAAACAAACAAAGCGGAATGGAAAATGAAGGCAAATACAAAAAAAAGCAAAGAAAAGCAAAGCAGTGCAGAGGAGCAACAAAAGGAAAAAACTATAACAAATGGCAATTATTAATATTGAATATGTATAGCGGATAAGAGAAATAGCTCCCAGAGTTCTTTGTGGTGTGCGTGCATGTCTAGCTGTAAGTAAACACACATACATACACCTACCATTTCCACCCATCTGGAACAGTAACTGTAATTGTAAAGATTTGTGTGTATGTGTAAGTATGTGAGCCTAGATTGCATGAAGATGTAGTCAAGAGCCACAGTTGGAGTCGTAGTAGGCAAAGCGGCCTGTGGCCAGCGGCCAGCGACCAGCGACCATCAGCTGCAAACTCTGCACACTCTAAACTGTAATCTGTGTACTGCAAACCACTTAAGTTTATATATATATATTGTATCTACACTGTACTGTGTGTGTATCTACCATATAGTGTACGCAAAAGGAGATTAAAGCGAGAAAACTAAGAACTAACAGAGTATCGAGAACACTCGACGATGACTTTGTCTTATTTAAATTTCAGCTCGGGCACTGGGTTCGGGGCTGGGGCTGGGACTGGCGGCAAGGAATCCTTGCGGACTTGCGGTTTACTGGAAAAAGATTATTCTTTATTCTAGGGGAGTGGCAGAGAGTGGCGGAGAGTGGATGCCACACTTGATGCTGTGATGCTGGGATCCTGGGATGCCCTGATGGCCAGCCAAGCAAAAAGACAAAGTGCAATGCCAGTTCAACAAACAACTGGCAAAAACTTTACACTTTACATTTTCGGATCATTCTCGATGCTCGGTACGAGTGCTTTTTGCCCCCGTGCACTCTCACGCTCTCAGAGCCTGTTTTGGGGCAAGTATGAGCTGGTAGTCCGGTAGTCGGGTAGTCGGGCAGTCGGGCAGTCAGTCACTCAGGGGCTAAGATGGATAGACAGCTGCAAGTTGCAGTCAGCAAAGTGCGAACTGCAGGCCACGCATCTTAAACAACTTTCCCGAGGACACAGGGAACTCACACATGAGAGAGACAGCATCTGTGCGCCCCCACCTCTAAGCCAGTTGTCCCACCCAGCCACCCATGGAGGCGACGTGGAAGTGTCAGCCCTGCATTCGCATTGTCGGCAACAATGTGGGGACAAAACGTGCTACGTGTATTGACTCACTAATGAGAAAATAAACAAGAGACCAGGAGGGAGCCAGCGCACTAATGACCCAAAGTTGAACCCAGAGATACAGATAAAGATACAAAGCGCAGATACAGATGCGAATGCGAATGGCATGGCCAAAGGGTCACACTAGTGGGTGGGCTGTGTGGCTTCCGCATGAGTGGCCAATCTGAAGCTGAAGCCACACCTTCGCCGGGTCACAGACTTTGTTGCACAGCGACTACGAGTGTACTCGTATATGTGTGCGGAATGGAGGTCAAAACACATCCGTTTCGGGGGAGACGCGAAAGTTACAGATGTGCAGCGTTCTGTCCTGTGCTGTCCTGTCCTGGCCCCGTAATCAGCCAAATAACGACTGCCAAAATGCTGGATAAGCGGAGAACTAATAAAAAAGAAACGTTGCATGGCATTGCTGGCAAGCTGCACACAATATCCCGGATTCCCCCCACAGCATACAGCAGCCAACATCCTCGCCCCATCAAAGCTTATCACTGAAGTTGGAGCAGAATGTCGAGCGTTGAATGGTGAGCGTCAAACCCTCGACGACATTTTATTTGCTCGCTGGTAATTTTGTTTCCGTTAGCTACTAGTGCTTTTCACCCTCTCTATCTCCCGGGTATGCCATCTCCCATCCCCCCTCCTATCATTCTAATGCCACATGGCCCGGCTCCACAGCTCCCCGGCTCCACTCTTTCCATCCTTTCCATCCTTTCCTTGTGGCCACATCCTGGCTCCTACGCTTCTTTTGTTGGGCTTGGTTAATGAACCGAAATGCGTGTTTGTCTCCACGTTTCGGGTTTTGTATTTTGTGGCATTGGACGCGGAGTTCGCTGCTCTATTCAGCTCCTAGTCTTGCCCCCTTGGCTCCCTCTCCTGCTGCTTCTGCTGCTACTGTGGCTGCTCCTTCAGCGATTTCTGTGTTGCCCCAAATACGAGCACGAGTACGAGTATCTCTGTGTGTGTATTGCAATCATGGTTTTGATGACTTTGTTTCTGGGCAAAGTCAAATTCGCGTGGTCTCCCGAGTCATGGAGTTGGGGTATTTTATTCGGTTGTTTTGGATTATTGCTCGAAGCTTATGTTCTGGAATCGGATTCTATTTTAGTCCGTCTTTTTGTGTCCGGAATTCGGGTCTGGGACTTTGTATCTGTGTATCTGTGTGTGTGTGCGGTTGGGGGTGTGTCAGTCTCACAAAATTACAAATTGTCTGTCTGGCATTTCCGCTTCGCTAAGTCATAATACGTTTAATTATAAAAAAACACAAGTATATATCTTTAGCATGTGTATGTTTAGCGGAGCTCAGTCTGTCTGGTTGATGATAATGCTCTCTCACTGCCTCCGGTTGAAGGAAAGAGTTTAATGGGGAGTTTAAGAAATGCCGCTAAAGAAAGAGTTCATGGAACAACTCTGGGGATTCTGTGAGGAAATACTTAAAAGACGAATCTCTATGATGAAGATGAAAACGATTCAAATTTATTAGCATGTGGAAATGGCTTAAAGACGAGATGTTTTCACGATTATGACCCATCATTCTTTTCATGATTTCCCTCTATCATATGGCACATTTTTCAAAGAATAAACTATTTAATAACTGCCACTGCAGCAGCCACAGGACTGATGAAGACTGAAAAAACTCTGGTCGGAAATGAGACAAATTCAGCTGAATATTTTGATGGAAAAATGGCATCGTAAAAATCGATGATCGACAAGAAAGAACAAGTGAGCGTCGTAATGAAATCAAAAGGCACTTACAGCATGCAACCGCAGAACGCTAAAAAGTCCACAATGTTGTACACAAATTTTCCCCGAGCTGTAAAAGCTGAGTACCCCCTCCCCCTCCCCGTCCACAGTGCGGATGGGGGAATATGGGTGGGTGCGTGGGCGGGTTGTGGCATCAACATTTATGAATTTTTTAAGTGCAAAAGAGGCGGCTTTAATGAAACATCGTCGATGTGCAAACAGCTATGTATTTATTGCATTCAAAATGTTAATTATGAATGGGAAAAACCTTTGACAGGCTAAAATGGACGGGGAAAGCCCATTGAATATGCAACACAGCGGATGGATAGAGAAAGTGGGAAGTGGAAGGCGGGTCGCATGGTTGAGAGGTCGCTGTCTTTATTGCCCCTTAAAAGCCGCTAATGAAATCAATAAAGCTGCTCTAAGCAATTCTGCTGAAGCAGGGCGCATAAAAATGCTAAATAAATTGATGAACTGCGATGAAGACAGCGGCCAAAAGGAGGCAACCCAAGGCAACCGATTCGAGGATGACGAGATGGATGGCTGGTTGGCTGGATGGCTGAAAGGCTGATGTCTTGACGGTTGTATCGTAAAAGGCGCCGTTCGCATCCCCGTTGTAAAAAAGCGCTCCGTCGACCCTTTCATTGTGTTTGCAGCATGCCCCCTCTGTTCGGGCAGGACCCTGCGACGGGGCACTTGCACTGACTTGATGCCAAGGACTAGAAGAACGCATGGCCTGGGGATGGTGGGCGATGGTAGAGTGCCTGGCGCCCGAAATTGTATAAATATAAACGACATTAAAGCGCGTCTGGAAATAAAACAAACAACAAGTCAAATTCAATGAACTGAGCAGAGCAGAGGCCGCTCTCCTCCAAGGACCCGCTAGACCTCCCAACATTGTGCCCCACCTGATGTGGCAGTTCAAGCGCAGCCTCATTGTATTCCCTGTTCGAGTTTCCATATCTCTACACAATGCCTCAGCTATTTTCAGAGGGGCACCAGCCCCAGCTCGAGCACCAGCGCCAGCATCAGCGCCAACCGGATGGGCCAGTGGGCGTAGAGTCTGCCAGGGTATGGCCGAGTCCTTCGCCAATCAGCCATTGTGCGTTGGGAAGCTTCGGTTGGTTATATTTAACCATTTAT